TGTCAGTGAAGATGTGATGCGCCGAACTGTTGACCATGTCTTGTCAGTGAAAGTGATTCGCCGAACTGTTGACCATGTCTTGTCAGTGAACGTGATGCGCCGAACTGTAGACCATTTACTGTCAGTGAATGTGATGCGCCGAACTGTTGACCATGTCTTGTCAGTGAAAGTGATTCGCCGTACTGTTGATCATGTCCTATCGGTGAAAGTGATAGTGATGAGCCGAACTGTAGACCATTTGCTATCAGTGAAAGTGATTCGCCGAACTGTTGACCATGTCGTGTCAGGGAAAGTGATTCACCGAATTGTGTGACCATGCCTTGTCAGTGAAAGTGAACACTAAAGTATAATTTCTCGTGCAATCAAATTTACGACAATTCGTATTTTAGCTGGTAAGTAACTGAGTAGATCTTACTTTAGGTTTCCAGGAACCCAGCCACTGACTGTTTATGCATTTAGCATGGATTGTGTTTGTGACACAGATATGGACGTGTATAACTTTGTGTTATGTCACAGTGAGTGAGTGAATAACAATAATCCAGCATTATCATGGCAGGGGACACCAGAAATGGGCTTCACACATTGTAACCAAACTAACGTCTAAAACAAACGCCACCAAAAATATAGATGAATGTAAATTTTCAAAATAATTGTCAATCTGTTCGAAATTAGCTAAAACACATCTCTCGAACACAACATGTGTATTCCCAGTGAACTCTTGCACTTTCGTATTTAGTGAAGAAAAACCCGAATTTACCCGCGTAAAATTGAAATTGTGCACAAAGTTACCCGTATCAGATTAGGGTGTAAAAGCTGACCATTTTTATTCTCTTTCATTTTAATTGATTGACAACCAGGAACATGCCTGTTTTAACAGCAGAGCAGAGGTATGCTACATATGAGAGCAACACAAGAGCATGTGAAGCGGACCATGAAATGCTGCAAATCCACCATCGCCAGACTTGTCACACCTCTACAAGAGACTGGCATTACTGCAGACAGGCCAAGGAGTGGTAGACCAAAGGCCACCACCGAACAAGAAGACCGGTATTAAGTTACGGGAGTAGTATACACAATGGGCTACGGGACCAGGTCCCCCAATGGCTCAATTTTAAAAACTGAGCCCTTGGGAAGTCCCTTTATAATCCATGTAGCCCCATTGTGCATACTACTACTGGTGTTTCACCTGAGGAACCGCTACGTCACTGTGACGTCATCAAGCGCCAACAGTCTTTGACATGCGGTCAGCAGACAGACTGTGGCCAGACGACTCCTCCATCATTGTCTCGGTGCCTATCGATCAAGGACATTACGTTGACGAGCCAACAACGCGACGTGCCAGATTGAGGATGGACCAGGACTGTGTCGCCAGCTGGCAGCGAAACTGGTGAAGAGTGCTCTTTAGTGACGAAAGCAGGTTTGCAGCTCTTCAAGTCTGACGGACGAGGTCGCCCGATCTGTCCCCAGTTGAACACCTTTGGGACCAACTGGGACGTCGTATTAGGAAACGCCAATACGAGGAACGCTTTGGCAGTTGCCATGCAAGAGGACTGGCGTCGGATCCCTTATCAAGACGTCAGAAGACTCACCTACTCAGTTCTACACCTGGTTCGGGCCTGCATCACTGCTAGAGGTGTCCACACCCGGTATTGAACATATATGTGCTGCCCAGAAGTTGTTAAAGCTCTCAGTCAATTTTGCATTGGTGATGCTGGGCAATGCACCCAATGTCATTCATGTGCCATTAGATCACGAGCTGCGTCGTTTTCTTCTTGCTACCCATTAAATACTTGTTGCTGAATGATTGCCTCTTACAATAAAACATTTAATGTTACCATAATTCGGTTTGGTTTTGTTTTAGACCAGAAACATATTTGGTGGCGTTTCTTTTGGACGCTAGTTTATGTGGGGGAATCGAACCCCAGCGTCTTCAGCGTGACGAGCGAACGCTTTAACCACTGGGCTATCTTATATCACATACCCACACCGCCTTACATGTAAGGCATTATATAATCCCCTTGTATATAATCCCCTGTCGACTTCAGCTGTTTATAGGGGCGGTGGGGTACCTAGTGGTTAAAGTGTGCGCTCGTCACGCCCATTCGGGTTTGATTCCCCACATGTACAATAATATGTGAAATCCATTTCTGGTGTCCCCGCCGTGATATTGCTTTGAATATTGCTAAAAGTGGCGTGAAGCTAAACTCGCTCGCTCTACCCACTCATTCAGATGTTTGTAGGGGCTGTGGGGTAGCCTAGTGGTTAAAACGTTAGATAATCGTACCCGGATCTAACTGTATACAGAGGCTATAACTAGCTAGAGAGCACCTGCAGCGTTGTTTATTTCCTGCTGCTGGTAACATTAATTCCGCATGGACAGTTTTAATGCATTTTTAGTTGAATGTATTTATCTGATGCACAGTTTCGTGCGGAGGTCTCAATAAGTGGTGTGTTTATCTGTTAATGTACTCGTTTTAAGTATGTACATTATTATCTACTTAAATATTAAGTAGTCATATGAATTCGTTTCTTTTCATATCGAGGTCAAGAACAGAAGTGTAACGTGGACACAGCAACATTGTGTGCGTGCGAGTCAGCTAACCTGCTCGGTGAAACAAATTTGTTTTTTAAATTGACCAGCGTCTAATGGACGGGGATGGCCCCTGTGTTGGAACTTTGGAAATAATTTCTTATGTCATCCTGCTCTGAATTCTATATAATACGCCTCGGTATTATAGACCCGTGAATATCCCGGTTAGAATTGGTCGTTAGTAACCCATGCTTGTCGTAAGAGGCGACTAACAGGATCGGGTGGTCAAGCTCGCTGACTTGGTTGACACACGTCATCGTATCCCCATTGCTCAGATCGGTGCACATGCTGTTGATCACTGGATTGTTTGGTCCAGTCTGGATTATTTACATATAGAGATATAGCTGGAATACTGCTGAGTGTGTCGTTTATCAACAAACCAACCAACCAACCAACCTAGGTATTATAGATGAAGCTGAAACTGTAGTGTATGTTCCCTATTTTTATGGAGGGCGGAAGGTCGCGGGTTCGATCCCCGACCGCGTCATACCAAAAGACGTTCAAATATGGTACTTGTTGGTCCCTGCCTGGCGCTCGGCATTAATGGGTACAACAAGGACTGGTCGGCTCGGAGTCAGTATAATGTGTCTGAGTGGGGTATTCATGCTTCACTGCGGCATGGTATCTCAGTGGGCTAGCACTATAAAACCAGCTTAAGTCTGGGCTAGTACAAGCAGCCACACATACACACGCATGCATGCACGTCGTCATATGAGCGAAATATTCTCAAGCACGACGTAAAACCCAATTTCACCTCACCTCACCCTATTTTTATGATCTTATGGACATTATGTATCCATAACCCTCTGTCCCAGAGGTCACGGGTTGACCCATGGACTAAAATGCTGCAATTCGATGTGCAGAACTACTCCCTTCAGTTATGCCAGGATCCACTGATCGCCGGTTTGAAACCCAGAATCGAAAAGATTACTATTTTGTTGGCTGTGCAACCATCTACTTTATACACTGGTTAATGTGAAACGTCCACAGTAGTAGTATGACGTTAAGATGGTTTCCTACCATACTAAACACAACTGAAAGCTGAACTATTTACTGTTGGACGGTGGGGTAGCCTAGGTGTTCGCCCGTCACCCTGAGACCCGTTTTCGATTCCCATATGGGTACAATGTGTGAAGCCCATTTCTGGTGTCCTCAGCCGTGATGTTGCTGGAATATTGCTAAAAGCGGCATAAACTAAACTCACTCACACACTGAACTGCTGTTAAACTGGGTTAAACTCTTTTACTGTATCATTTCCATTCTTCGTGAACACCCGGTGTCATCCCCTGATATTTAGTGATCCATCCGTATAATTTTCACAGCTGTTTATCTTTTCACGGCAGACCTGAGAAGGTCCGGGTTAGAATTGATCTTCATCAACCCATGGTTGTCGTAAGAGGCGACTAACGGGATCGGATGGTCAGGCTCGCTGACTTGGTTGATACATGTCATCGGTTCCCAATTGCGTAGATCGATGCTCATGCTATTGATCACTGGATTGTCTGGTACAGACTCGATTATTTACAGACCGCCGCCATATAGCTGGAATAGTGCGGCGTAAAACTAAACTCATTCACTCTTTTCACAGCAAGTGGCTTTATTTCTGAGCATATGAAATCTGGTTGTTTTACACTGACGTGTATTTTAATCCAGGTACACACTGGATATGGAGCTGTCACGACTCTCTTGGCAGGCAAGCTGGACAAAACGGACATCGACAAGACATCGACCATGCTGGAACTGTCGGATGAGGAGAAGTACAAAGACCTCCCATCTCCCAGACTCCTCAACTCCCACGCACCGTTAGGTCACCTGCCAGACGAGGTCAAGGTCAAGAAACCAAAAATTGTGCACGTCATTCGCAATCCCAAGGATGCCATTGTTTCTTATTTCGTGTTTTTGAAAAAGATGGGCATCAACGACTACCATGGGAAGTGGGAGAACTATGTTTGTCCTGCAACAGAGGGGAGATGTAAGTTACACTGTAGTGTCAGGCAATGAATACTTATTGTTAAAAATTTTGTGAATGGAGGGTGCTTCTGTAGAGTATAATAGATAATATGGCCACATATAGCGCAAAACTCAACGGGGGAAAGCTCTAAGCATATAACATATAACATAATGGAGATTAATATTACCCCGTATAACCCAAGCTGCTTCAAGGCGCTAGAAGGTTAATAGTCTGATGACTTATACCACCGGGTACCCATTTTCTCCTTAGTGAACAGAGGCAAATTTGAGCAAACTCACTTGCCTAAGGTGAGACCAAATATGGCACGTGTGCTTTGCGGTGATGTGTTTGGAAAACACCACACTTGACAAAAAGCGATTTTTACTAATAGATAGAAATGAATAATAATACATTTTTTTCACAACATTATATATGAAATATAATTATTTCTTTGAAAACGTATTGGACAAGAGGAAATATTTTGCAATGAGGTGTGATTCTATGTCACGTCCAAGAAGCAACATGATGATCCGTTGTATGGTTCAGACTTGATTATCTACAGACCACCTTGAGGCCTTAATAAAAATAAAAATAAATAAACACACAAACTGGGAATATGTATCAGTGGTTTATTTGATATGTTTTTTGTATAGAAATGTTATATATGGTTCAATGTTTCAGCATGTACGTATGTTTCAGTTGAATATGGTTCCTGGTTCGACCATTTGAAGGGGTGGGAGGAAGTGAAGAAAACTACCGACATTCCCTTCCTGACACTCTTCTATGAAGACCTTAAAGAGGTCGGCCATGATACTCGAGGAGAAGGACATAACATATTATCACAGACAATGCTGCTTAGATCAAGGACATAGAATATAGTCACAGGCAATGTTACTCAGGAAAAGGACCTAGAATATAGTCACAGGCAATGTTACTCAGGAAAAGGACCTAGAATATAGTCACAGGCAATGTTACTCAGGGCAAGGACCTAGAATATAGTCACAGACAATGTTACTCATGAAAAGGACCTAAGAATATAGTCACAGGCAATGTTACTCATGACAAGGACAGCAGATACAATCAAGGGCAATGTCCTAAGGAAAAGGACCTAGAATATAGTCACAGATCTAGACAATGTTACTCAGGGCAAGGACATAGAATATAGTCACAGGCAATGCTACTCAGGGCAAGGACATAGAATATAGTCACAGGCAATGTTACTCAGGAAAAGGATATAGAATATAGTCACAGGCAATGTTACTCAGGGCAAGGACATAGAATATAGTCACAGGCAATGCTTACTCAGGGCAAGGACATAGAATATAGTCACAGGCAATGTTACTCAACGGCAAGGACATAGAATATAGTCACAGACAATGTTACAGGCAAGGACATAAAATATAGTCACAGGCAAACTCAGGGCAAGGACATAGAATATAGTCACAGGCAATGCTACCTACGACAAGGACACATAGAATATAGTCACAGACAATGTTACCCAGGGAAGGACATAAAATATAGTCACAGGCAATGCTACTCAGTAAAAGGACATAGAATATAGTCACAGGCAATGTTACCCAGGTCAAGGACATAGAATATAGTCACAGGCAATGTTACTCAGGGCAAGGACATAGAATATAGTCACAGGCAATGTTACTCAGGGCAAGGGCATAATATTGTCACAGACAATGTTACTCAGGGCAAGGACATAGAATATAGTCACAGGCAATGTTACTCAGGGCAAGGACATAGAATATAGTCACAGACAATATTACTCAGGGCAAGGACATAGAATATAGTCACAGGCAATGTTACTCAGGCAAGGACATAGAATATAGTCACAGGCAATGTTACTCAGGGCAAGGACATAGAATATAGTCACAGGCAATGTTACTCAGGGCAAAGACATAAGACCTATATTCACGTGGTGTGGTCTGGTGTGACGCAATTCTTAACTTTTAAGAAGGAAATACAACCTATTTGCAACCAGTACAACCTTAGATTATGACCCTGTGTCACCAGACAAAACAGGTAGCAACTCCTGCTCAATATACGATAATATATAATGTTTGAGTTTTGGTACCGATGACATCATAACAAGATTATTCTGGGTCTGAATACAACATCTTCATTTAATCACTGTCTGTGCAGTCAGAGTCACCGCTCTAAGTCGGTTCTTCATCATTCTGGTTTCCAACTGAAGTCTGTGTTCTTTTAGGATTACAGAAACACATTTTTGTCGCATCTGTTCTCTGGCGTGTCGTCTTATGTTTAATAATGTTTTTGTCTTCACAGGACACATTCAGGGAGGCTAAGAAGTTGTGTGACTTTCTGGGCGTATCAAGGAGTGACGACTACATCAGACAAGTGTGTGACCACTGCGACTTTGACTCCATGAAGAAAGTCAAGGCTACAGCCGAGCTAACTGGCAAGGTTGCTTATCGGAAAGGCAAGTATATTTGATACTGACTGGGGTGACGTGGAGTTAACATCACATGAATTAAACACACAACAGCAAATGGAATAATTAAAAACGACAAAACCTTTTCAATAATCAGAAGAAATCCTTATTTAGATCAAAGCCCATTTTACGATTCCGACTTAGGGCGTCGTAAAACAATACTCACTCACCATATTAATATATGTTAACTTTATGAATAACTATCAAACAATGCTCACTCACCATATTATCATATACTAACTAGTAACTAAAACTATGACAGCTAAACATCAAGATAATGAATCGTTACTTACATGACACACAAAATCACATTTAATGACTTTCCAGGTGTAGCTGGTGACTGGAAGAACTGGTTCACTGTGGCCCAGAACGAGTGGTTTGATCAATATTATGCTGAACAAATGAAAGATTGCCCCGTGAAGGTTCGATTTACTCTTGATTAGGCATATTATGTTGCCTGCAGATGCCATGGCTATCAGGGTGAGGGTGGCACATTCTGTCGCTAACATCTTGTAGCTGCAAGCATTGTATTAATCAGATCAAGTTTTATATGTTGTTGGACACATTGAAACATTGCTTTTTATATACATGAGCTCCTATACCGCAGCAAACCAAACAAAGTTGTACTTCCCTTAAAGGATCAAATGATATTTCCACCATGAACAGTTGTCGATAATGTTTCTGCAAGACGGCTTCAAGCACGCCTTGTGTTTCCTGTTCACAGAGGTGTATCAGTTGAGTGGGAAGAATGTCATGGAATGTGTAATGAAAATCAAAGGACCACAACTGTTCCATGTAACTACGGGAAGAGCTATATTTGCGGGCACCTTGTATCATCACTATTCGACAGTGCTTCATACATACATGCTTAGATACAGTCGGAGTCACACACTGGACCCACCCTATGGCGATTTCTTATAATTATGCCATTTTGTTTATGTTATTTATGGTCATATTGCCTGTTGATGTTTAACAAGTAGTTAAATATTTATCATATATTGAGAAGTGTATGCAATTCATTTCAGAACCGTCCTACGTTATCGTTGTATAGTGTGTTTATGAGAACTCAGTTTAGTTTTTACGAATCGTATTCCATTGCCAGTGTTGATTTTCTTTAACAGACGCCTAAATAGAGAAGGAAATTTGCAATGAGCCATCTTTTGTTTTGTTTTCAGACATGTTTGCGTTTGTACGTTCATATATTCATGAATGTCAATGGACAATCTTTAAATGCCCTTGTGGAATATCTTTATTTTACTTATAATGAAGCATTGTTGGAGGTAAGCAGATGTTACTACATTGGGTGTGCTGGAGTATTGTGAGTACCACAGTTTGGTCAGGGTAGGCACCTAGTATAATTACAACAATTTGATGGTGCTTTATATACACAACATGCTTATGATATGGTCAGAATGGTACACTAGAGTACCACAGTTTGGTCAGGGTAGGCACCTAGTATAAATTACAACAATTTGATGGTGCTTTATATACACAACATGCTTATGATATGGTCAGAATGGTACATTAGAGCACCACGGTTTGGTCAGGGTAGGCACCTAGTATAATTACAAACAATTTGATGGTGCTTTATATACACAACATGCCTATGGTATGGTCAGAATGGTACAATAGTGTACCACAGTTTGGTCAGGGTAGGCACCTAGTATAATTACAACAATTTGATGGTGCTTTATATACACAACATGCTTATGATATGGTCAGAATGGTACATTAGAGCACCACAGTTTGGTCAGGGTAGGCACCTAGTATAATTACAACAATTTGATGGTGCTTTATATACACACAACATGCTTATGATATGGTCAGAATGGTACAACAGAGTACCACAGTTTGGTCAGGGTAGGCACCTAGTATAATTACAACAATTTGATGGTGCTTTATATACACAACATGCTTATGATATGGTCAGAATGGTACACTAGAGTACCACAGTTTGGTCAGGGTAGGCACCTAGTATAAATTACAACAATTTGATGGTGCTTTATATACACAACATGCTTATGATATGGTCAGAATGGTACATTAGAGCACCACGGTTTGGTCAGGGTAGGCACCTAGTATAAATTACAACAATTTGATGGTGCTTTATATACCCAACATGCCTATGGTATGGTCAGAATGGTACAATAGTGTACCACAGTTTGGTCAGGGTAGGCACCTAGTATAATTACAACAATTTGATGGTGCTTTATATACACAACATGCTTATGATATGGTCAGAATGGTACATTAGAGCACCACAGTTTGGTCAGGGTAGGCACCTAGTATAAATTACAACAATTTTGATGGTGCTTTATATACACAACATGCTTATGATATGGTCAGAATGGTACAACAGAGTACCACAGTTTGGTCAGGGTAGGCACCTAGTATAAATTACAACAATTTGATGGTGCTTTATATACACAACATGCTTATGATATGGTCAGAATGGTACAATAGACCTTCAGCAATTTTACTATTTGGAAATAATTGTTTGTTGTCACTTGTGTCAGTTAACGTTGGGGTATTTACCAGCTTGAAAGACTTGCTTCATGTTCATGTTAAACACAAATTACTACATTGTGTGACCTTTTTAAATAAAGTCCATGTGAATTGACTTCTTTTCTTTCTTGTATATTTATAATTCAGACACATCTCGTTGTGTTTTAGTGACTGATTCCTATAATCAAGCTCATAATATCCCAAGGTATAGTAAATACTTGGTAACACAGTTGGTCACGTAATAGTAGGGCAGGTAAATGGGTCATGGGACTACGCGAAACTTTACGTTGTTGAGTACTTCCGGTGACAGTGTTTTACAGCAATGGCGATAGCACTGTTACCTGGGACATCACCTAGCCAATCACACTCGACACACACGCAATGTCAGTTAGAAAACTATGACATATAACAGGCTAAAATATACTTGGACAAGGTTGCATGAATAGCAAGTGCATATCTGTCAAAGCAGGCTGCAGAGTTGTCAAGTCAAGTCAAGTGTTTATTTCCAGTATGAAGGCCTCAGGCCCATTTACAATGCAAAATATATACAGTTTTGTATACAATAGATATACATTGCAATATTACCTTAGTTTACACTATACTATATATATATATATATATATATTATGGTGAACAAACATTGTATACATATACCGTATATATAAATACGGAAAATGTACTAGTTTTAAAACCTTAAGTAAATTTTATGGCATGCATATAAATTAAGAGAGAGAGTATGTGTAAAACCTGAGATGATAGGCATCACATATACAATGTTTGTTCACCATAATATTTATTATATATCTATAATATGTGAAAGTTTTAATGTTGTTGGAAACAGTGAGACATATTTATGCTATATAATGTGAAAATGAATAAAAATGGTACTCGTGTTCAGTACCTAAATTCCAATATGGACATAAACGTTGATATTTATCTATTCCTAACCACCTCCCTTCATTATATTTTAATCTTGATAGACCACATCTGAAATTAACGAATATATTTCTAAGTCGTTTGTCAAAAATGCAATCTAAATATTTCTCAGGAGCTAAAATGCTTTCATACTCACGATAAATACAATATCTGGAGCTATTTTTCAGAGTACAAGTCCAAGATTGGAAGAACATATTAATAGCAACATTTTTAAAGGCATTGATAAAAGAGGATATATCTCCTACAGGTTGAAACATCCATACATAACCAAAGCCATGTGTCGTTAATGGCCGCTACTCTTTACATCCATTTCTTTGTTTTCATCAAAAGGATGGTACACGTAACGATGAAGTTGTAATGTGCGCAGATCGGGGAATCGTTTGAATGGATTTGTTTTTAATAGTAAGAAAAGAGAAAGAGGAATTTGCAGTTGTTAATATATTTATTACCATTCATCATGGCACATATCTATTAAAGTTATCTTGCTCATAATATACCACATTAGAGAAGGTGCTTAATAACAGTGCTTGAATTGGTGAGAAAGTGCTTAAACAGGCCGGGATTTCTTGTGAGGGTCGCTTGGAGTAGCCCAGTGGTTGAAGCGTTCGTTCTGCTTCAATTAACCGCCTCCGTGGTGTAGTGGTTAGAGCGTCCGCCCGGAAAGCGGAAGGTCGCGGGTTCGATCCCCGACCGCGTCATACCAAAAGACGTTCAAATATGGTACTTGTTGGTCCCTGCCTGGCGCTCGGCATTAATGGGTACAACAAGGACTGGTCGGCTCGGAGTCAGTATAATGTGTCTGAGTGGGGTATTCATGCTTCCCTGCGGTATGGTATCTCAGTGGGCTAGCACCATAAAACCGGCTTCAGTCTGGGCTAGTACAAGCAGCCGCACATACACATACACACGCATGCACGTCGTCATATGAGCGAAATATTCTCAAGCACGACGTAAAACCCAATTCACCTCACCTCACCTGCTTCGATTAAATGGTGTTGTGTTAGTATTATGTCTTTTAAATGTTCAACCATCCGGTAATTAAAACTGACATTTGTGCTATCTGTTTTGACGTTATTACTTATGTTGAATGTGATCACATGTTTTCAAGTCGGTGATATTCGGTGAGAAGCTGGCTCGAGTACCTGGTGGAAAGAGAATACGTCTGGTTTTAATTTCTTGCTGCTTAAGGTCCAGAATGCACATGCGTATATATAAAAGCTGTATATGCCAAGCTGTTTTACATACAATACATTGTCACTATAGAAGTCTGTGGAAAACATTTTGTTTCACTAACCTTTAGGAGTCAGGCAATGAACACAAGACATGGTGCAACCATTCGTTACTGATTTTCAGTTATCCATTCAGTTTTCACTGCTAATTTGCAGGTTTGCGCTCAATGGAATCTGTTCCGAGACAGGTTAATTCTCTGGTCTTATTGTTACATATTTGTTTTGTTTTTCAGTAAGTTTATCGAGTATGACCCATTGTTTAGCAGTGGGCAGTGGGAATCGCAGGAGTTACCTCCCTTTTGTCAATTATCATGGATGTGAGAACCACATCGGAAATCCGGTGATTACGAACAAACGTGTATTTCTACAGTGAGTGAGTGAGTTTAGTTTTACGCCGCACAGAGTAAATATTCAGCTATATGGCGGCGGTCTGTAATAATCGAGTCTGGACCAGACAATCCAGGGATCAACAACATGAGCATCGATCTGCACAATTGGGAAGCGATGGCATGTGTCAACCAAGCCAGCGAGTCTGACCACCCGATCCCGTTAATCGCCTCTTACAACAAGCAAGAGTTACTGAAGATCAGTTCTAACAATGCACGGTTGGAATGATTATTTTCCCCCTTCAGGCCACCAAGCACTGTTTTCTAGATATACACATGCAACGATCAAAGGCGATCATCATTTGCAATACGAGTATCCGTCGTTAAACATTATGAAGTTTAGGAAGAAGAAATATAGTTTATTGTTGTGTCACATGCTGAATTACAATAAAAGACATTTCGTCGTTCCAGAGATTTAAAAACAGCATCTGGCCATATGGTCTATGAGACACAAATATAACAGTTACGTAAACACATTGATAATAAAGTCATACCCACCCAAACATACACACACGCAAGCCCCCCCGATATGGGTTCGATTCTTAGAATGGGTACAATGTGTGGAGCCCATTTCTGCTGTCCCCTGCCGTGATATTGCTGGAATATTGCTAAAAGCGGGGTAAAATTGTGGTCTGCAGTAAGTGTACGTGTCGATTGGTTTGGTACAGTAAGCTGTGGTTTTCTTTAACTAGGGCTCTCCTGTTGGAAATTTCAGATCACGTTACACTGTACAACATACGCGTTTCCACATACATCTTCTGTGACTAAGGGTAGCCTAGAGGTTAAAGCGTTCGCTCGTCACGCCAAAGACCCGGGTTCGATTCCCCACATTGATACAATGTGTGAAGCCCATTTCTGGTGTCGCCCGCCGTGATATTACTGGAATATTGCTAAAAGCGGCGTAAAACTAAACTCACTCACTCACTCCTCTGTGATTTGATCTACGTGTATATGAGTATTGGTACACAATGACCATAGAGTATACATCTCTGTGAGAGCTACGGTAACGTAAATCTAACTTTGATGTCAGAGTCCGCCATCTTCTCTTGGTACAGCTGATCAAACCACTCGTTCTGGGCCTCAGTGAACCAGTTCTTCCAGTCACCAACTTCACCTGGAAAGTTACAAAAACTAATGATTTTGATGTCATAATACTGAACATTTGTAGCAGCTTTGGGAACATGTGTAAACAAACATATGTGCTTGCGAGTATGTGCTTCATTCTGTTTGTTAGTTCCATTCCCAGACTCAACCCCTAAAACACTATAATCTTACTTACTGAGAAAGTGTCATATAACTCATAGAACATTTGACCACTTTCTAAAAAGACATTGTGCGTTCACATCTTTGGGAACTTCTTAAAGAGAAGGGGCGTTGGGGTAGCCTAGTGCACGCGGTTAAAGCGTTTGCTCGTCACGCCGAACCCCCGGGTTCGATTCCCGACATGGGTACAATGCGTGAAGCCCATTTCTGGTGTCCCCTGCCGTGATATTACTGGAATATTGCTAACTCACTCACTCACACTAAAAGAAGAACTTTACGATTTCTAAACAATAGATAAGAGTTTGTTCACTGCAACTCTAGTTCGAAGCATCAAGAAAAACACCGACAAGAAACATCCTGTTCAAGTAAAAACTTACTCCGATATACTGCAGTTATACTTGTGGGAATAAAACCCGTTTGACCTGACAGTTCGGGACGAACCACGAGGCCACCAAACAACCCTCCACTCAAACAGACCAGTTATGTAAAACATACCTCCACTGTAGGCTGTGGATCTTGACTTCATCTGTTGCATGTTCCCAATGCGGGCGAGGTCAATCGCCTCCCGCAGGAACTCGGTGCTGCGACATGATCCCAGGAACTCGTTCACTTTCCTAATCTCTCGTAGAGGATCCTAGAAACAATAAAAATCAAAGTAAACACGATTATCAAATCACACAAACTACCAAGACCTAGACTGTTTTCATTGATTAATAATATACATGTGTACCTTGAAATGTAAGTGTTTGAACGTGTCGTTGTAGTTTACACCGGACAAGAAAAGGGGCAAACATGAATGGATCCCTGAATGGACACGGGAAACCCAACCGTCTAAAGCCCCAGGGGTCACCAGTCGAGTCCTTAGGCCCTCGTGTCTTTGGGAGGATTTAAGATAAAAACTAGAGGAAAATATGAGATGACCTCCGACTCGAAATGCTTCACATGATATTCTACTCAATGGAATCTGTTTCGAATGACACTGACGTTTCATATATAATTGCGTTTGTTTAAATTTGATAAATATATAGACATTTCTCAATACAAATAGTTCCAAAAGTGCACATGCAGCATTGAGAAATAATCACTCGCCTCCTGTAAGTCCTCATAATGGAGGGTAAGTATCGGAAGATCAGGATGCGTCTTCTTAAGGTATTCCCACTCGAGGACGTGGTCGAACCAAGACCCATAGTGAACTGTGGCAAAAGAAGAACACGTATGGTCAATACCCTATGAAACAGTCAGTTCATTGATATGTTGTGTGTTGAAGTATGTTGTTTAACGAACGCCGAACTAAACAACAATCACCCGATCCCGTTAGTCGCATCTAACGACAAATATGGGTTGCTAAAGACCAGCGTTAACTCGGATCTTAAATGCGCAATGTGCTTATTACGAAATTGAATGAAGTTTCTTAAAGATTTTTAAAGGGTAACAAAGAGCCTCTTCTTATATCCCACGTGTCCATAGCGTGATCATTTAGTACCAAACCAAACAATATGCATAGCCCATCAAACAAATTTCAGTTTCTGAACAATGCGGCTACACGGACGAATAATTGATACGGATTATCACAGATGTACTTAAATGCAGTTGCACACTTCTACAAGACTTCGCCCTGAAAACTTCAGTTCTAACTCTAACACTATTGTGATATAAAAGGAAAGAGTATCTCAAATTTCGGATTGGAGCAGTTCAAAGATTTCCAAAAGGCCTTGGTTCATTTCAAGTTTCACCCGACTGTTTGAAGGATTATATATAAAATAGAAAATGACATTACATTCTTACATTTGCCGAGAACGCAGTATTCCATGTAATTCTCCCAATTGTCTTGGTACCTGCACTGTCGTGTGTTTCGGGTGTGGTTGTACGATGCCACGGTTACATCTTTAAGATTCCGCATCACATACACAAGTTTACATCTCTTCTTGAAAATGTCAGCCGGGAGCAGCTTCACGTTGTCATGACTGTTGAGAATTCTGGGTAACGGAAGTGACGTCACATTCTGTGGAAGGTATTCAGTCACCCTTGTGATCGTCTCCACACTGTTCAGATTTGTATGACCTGCGACAAGATGTCGGACCATCTCGCTGACCCAGTGTGTGCCTGAAACAGTTGGAGACCAAGGAAGATGGGATCATTGACATTGTAATCACATGACGTGTAGACAAGACCTAGCACATCCACGGATCAGTCACGTGGTGCGGAAGGGTAGTCTGTTCTAAATGCAGTGCCTCAGGGCCAAATAGCTGGTTCGATTCCCAGATTGTGAGAAATCAAATCTTGGTGTAAGACAATGATATGTCTGGAACATTACAAGAAGCAATGTACACATCATCTCATTCACTCATCTAACACAATCGCATGGGCAAGAACAGATTCGTGCACCAAATTCTAATGGTAAGGGCTGGCACTAATAGAAGGATGGAACCCTTGAAGTTCCGGGTTACAATGGAAAAGCAAACTTCAGTAACCCATGCTGGTCGTACGAGGCGACGAACGGAATCGGGTGGTCAAGCTCGCTGACTTGGTTGATGCATGTCATCGTAACCCAATTGCGCAGATCGATGCTCATGCTGTCGATCAGAGGATTATCTGGTCCATACTCGATTATTGACAGATCGCCGCCATGTAGATGGAATATAGTCGTATGGGTTATTAAGGACCAATTCTAACCCGGATCTTCACGGGAGACAAGCATGAGTTGCTAAGGACCCGGGTTGGAAAGCATGGGTTGCTGAAGATCAATTCTAACCCGGATCTTCACGGGTTTGTGTTTCTAATAAGGGTTACCCGATTTCGGGTAAGCACAGATGAAGATGTCATCGTTTCTGGTGGGGAGGTTGTGGATGTTGGTGAAAGAGTCGATGTTGAGGAAGTTTGGGTAGCGGATACCGTCGTGTTCAGTGTGCCAGATGGTGTCGCCACCGGCGTCCTCCACCTTCACACGTGACATCTGAGCTAGTGCAATCGACGATTGAATCATTGGCTTTAAAAGAAACGATTAAACAGATTTACCTCTGACATATGTGGTTCCATATACAGGTAATGGTTTTCGTATATAGGTCAATGTTTCAATGTTTTCCGTATATAGGTCTGAGGATGACATCTTTTAAAAATAGAAATAGGCACTCCAGGTACCTGGTACATTGGAATGACACTATGTACAGTGTAGCAACACATCTTTCATGTTAAAGACATGCACTGATGATAGTAGTATTATTTTATATGATAAACATACAGTGAAACCTCGTTTTCCCGGACAGTACAGTTTCGGGGAAAATTTCCAGTTTTATCAAAGTTATAGACTAAAGATAGTGCTGATTGGACGTTTTTCAATAATCTCGCTGTTCTAGTGATTTGAAAATGCAAAGCTCTTTATACTGCAAACGACGTGCGTTTAACACCCATCAAGAACAGGCTTAGGATTGAACTTCAGCAACTCATGTGCTAGGAGAGGCAACTGGTGACTGGTGGTCAGGCTCGCTGACTTGGCAAATACATGTCATCGTATCCTAATAACATGGATCGATGCTCATGATGTCACTCACTAGATTGTCTTTTCCAGACTCGATTATTTACAGACCCCTGTCAGATAGCTGGGATATTGTTGGCTGTGACGTTCATTGATCAAATAAATAAATAAACAAACAAACAGCTGCCCTTACCTTCAGATCTTCTGGTGACTCACACAAGTAGCTGTTGTAGGTAAGCAGTTGCAGAGTTACCGGATCTCTTCAAACCTTTTCTGGTAAACTATACAATGCGTTCACAACACAGATATATGGCGTCGCTCTGTTATTTCAAACGTAGATCATCTGTATCAAACTCAGTTATCTACAGACCTAATTTCTGCAATACAAATTTAAACTCATGAATTAATTCTAAACACGTTCATTGCTATTGTGTAGACAACAACGATTAACTCGAACAAAATCACCAGCTTTATGAATCATGCATCAAAGGTATCACAGCTGAACGCTGAAGTTCCTTTTGTATTACGAATGATCCGTCATAAATTTACGTGCACATTTTTTAACTTTCGGAGTGTATTTTAAATTTCATTTCGAACATGTGACTATTAACTTGATTGTTATACGTCACAGAAAGCACACAATGCAAACTGAATCTTAAATAGTGAGTAAGAAACGTGGTTCAGTGAGAATCAAATTGACCTTATGCATGAACACGAATCAACCTGAATGTCATAACGCCCTGTTATTGAAGTGCATTTCCATGTATATACGTGGTCAATACTGAATCATTGTTAGAAAGAAAGTGGTAACGTACTTGCTGTTTTTAAATTTGTAAATATTTGATGATCTATATCACATTATTGGTTATATCAGGAAAGCTATCGTGATCATGTGATTGAGTTGGGTTTGAACGAATTCTAGCAATATTTCAGCCATTGTAGCCATGTGGGGAATCGAACCCGGGTCTTCGACGTGACAAGAGAACGCTTTAACCACTAGGCTCCCCCTATTCTGACAGAAACGACAATTGCCGTCGTTTAACGCCTTTTGGTCTGAAGCGGACTGAACATCGAAACACTGACCTTTCGTTCTCCGGAAAGCTGCTCAATTCACAACACGTAGAAGATTTCTAATAATGAACATGACAAGGGACGTAACTTCGATATCAGGTTATTATATAGCTTTAGTGAGTCTCAGGTCGGATGTCGCTTGTCGGATGTCGGGTGTCGGGTGTCGGGAGTCCGATGTTCGAGGGAGACCTCCATGTAACTCACTCAGGTCAATATGGTTTGATATTTATCCGCTTATTATATAAGCATATGCACATCATTACGATCACGCCGCGCATGGCGGGCAAGGAGCCAGTCTATGTGAGGTGCCCACTGCAACGCTTAAAACATTTTTTCGGCTATGGGAGATGTGTGAATTGTGAAACATGACGATCGGCTTCCAAGCACTCTGCTTTTTTAATTATATTTACCTACGATGATGGTGCTCATGAAATAATATAAAAATACAAAATTAGGAAAGTAATAAAATAGAAAAAAATATTGAAATAAATGTAGAAAAACATGACGCGCCCTTGTGTTCAGTAGTAATCATTCTCTCAGGTTACAATGGATGGATATCACATCACAATGGATTGGTCCACATGCCTACTTCGTCTAACGAGCAAAGTCACTCAACCCTGACAATGCCTGGGTCGTCTTATTGCTACTGTTTACCTGTTTTAAAAATGAGACGAAACAGGTTGATACCCAACACGTGCATATGAACACGATTACGCTGCGCATGGAGGGCACTAAACCAGCCTATGGACTCCATGGCAACGTTTAAAACACTCTGCCGCTATAGGGAAATGCATATGTGTGTAGTGTGAACCATGACGATCGGCTTACAAGCACTCTGCTTTTTTGATTATATCTACAGACGATGAGGGTGTCCATGAAAATATTTGAGGAAATAACAAATATAGAATATAGAAAAAAACTTTATGGATAACAACTTCTTTTATTCGTGAGTGCGACGTTTCAATACAGATTCTTGTACCGTTGACATGTTAATCATGTTGTTTTCTTTGTTACATTGTTACATTCAGTATCTATATACATCGCCCCTCTTCCTGTTCTATTCCTGCATGACAGCGGTACAAGATTCTGTATCGAAACGTCGCACTCACGAATAAAAGAAGTTGTTATCCACAAAGTTTGTTCTATATTTTACTTCCCAACTTCTAAAATGCCACTACAAAGAAGTTAGAAATAACGAAGTTCAAAAATCTGGAAACAACAGCGGAGAAACATAAATCGTCCTACTGTTCAGTCCTATCACTATGTATCAAATATTTTCATCTGGAAATTTAAAATTTAAACGAATGTATACATAAGTAGAATATGTTTATTATGAATACATATTACACTTACAGCCACAGAAAGCGGTACATACATGTTGTATATGAACTATTGAATCAGTGAACACCTTACCTTCGTCTGTATTTGCCTATTTCACCGTTGGTATGTCAACATTTACTTGTAAAATCTTCTATTTAGAGTTATTTGTGTTTATGTTGCGTTCAAATCTATATTTCGTGTCGAAAAACGAAGCTGTTTGTGAATATACATGTAGATGCTGGTTAGTATCTCAATTCCGAAATTTGAACTCGAAACTAAATGTTTCAAGAGCAAACCACTATTTCATATGCAGTAACGAGTTACCTCCCTTATGTATACACCCGGAAGTGGGAGGATTGTGAAATGTGTGATCCTGTGATCATGTATACAACGTGTACAGTGGTGTGGCATGCTGCCATCGACGAGTGTACCCTGGGGTGACACTATCGTACACAGTCTAGATGACACTGTTTTTCGACAAGTTACAGTGTTCCTGACAAAAGATAAAACTGTGAGTTCGCTTACTTCCGGATTTGAGGCCCTGTTAGGGTTATGTTGTTGTTTTGCGATGCAAGGTATATGCGTTATCAATGAAGCTGCGCTATTTGGGAAACAACGGTTTAGTGAAATGGGGTTTAACGTCATTCTTAAGAATATTTCGCTCATATGACGACATGCATGCGTGTGTATGTGTATGTGTGGCTGCTTGTACTAGCCCTGACTGAAGCTGGTTATATAGTGCTAGCCCACTGAGATACCATGCCGCAGTGAAGCATGAATACCCCACTCAGACACATTATACTGACTCCGAGCCGACCAGTCCTTGTTGTACCCATTAATGCCGAGCGCCAGGCCCAACAAGTACCATATTTTAACGTCTTTTGGTATGACGCCGCCTGGGATCGAACCCCCGACCTTCCGCTCTCCGGGCGGACGCTCTAACCACTACACCACGGAGGCGGTAGGGAAACAAAGACGTCGTACCACGGTGACACCTCGTTAGTTCAAACTCTTTAAATCAGGAAACACGTCTTTCCGGATTTTTGTGTGTGGATGCATAGAAACTACTAAACTTAAGTCACGTCGAGGCGGTAATATTTCTCCCATGTGCCCTGACGAACTGCGTTAAACCAGAAATTTCTTCATCGAGTTCACTGGAAACGGTGTCTTTTTGATACCCGTGAAGGCCCGGGCTAGAATATTGATCTTCTGTAACCCATGCTTGTCGTAAGATGCGAATAACGGGATGGGATCGGGTAGTCAAGCTCGCTGACTTGGTTGACACATGTCATCGTATCCCAATTGCGCAGATTGATGCTCATGCTGTCGATCACTGGATTGTCTGGTCCAGACTCGATTATTTACGGACCGCCGCCATATAGCTGGAATATTGCTGAGTGCGGCGTAAAACTAAACTCACCCACTCACTCACTTTTTGAGTTAGTGCCGTTTTTACGGCCATGCAATATCTCTAGGTGTTTCTCGCCACGAATAGCTGAATAAATTGGTGATGCGGCCTTAAGCAATTCTCACTCACTCGCTCTCTAGGTTTCTGTTGCTACAATAGGTTGAACTGCCAAGAGATTTCGTGACATATATTCTCTACAAACGTCACCCGTAAAGATGATTGATAACAGTTATGGGGGCGGTTTGGTAGCCTAGTGGTAAAAGCGTTCGCTCGTCATGCCGAAGACCCGGGTTCGATTCCCCACATGGGTACAATGGGTGCAGCCCATTTTTGGTGTTATATTGCTGGAATATTGCTAAAAGCGGCGTAAAACTAAACTCACTCACTCACTTCTACATTCATGCAGGGTGTAGGATTCAGTTGATCAATAAGACTGGTCTGCCAGAAGAGATTGTGATATGTATTGTTTTACACAAATCAGTAAATATTTTATCAAGAGGCCCCCTTAATTCTTCAATTGCCTGATGATCACAGCAGAATGTTTTCATCACTTACGTTTTGCTAAAAAAACATAACAACATCGTGAATTAAACGGTCCAAGCATTCACAACATACTATTTCTGAATGCTGTTATTTTTGTTATGTGGCTTTGAGCCATCATGGCATAGGCAGTTTAATTTAGAATAATAGATTTCCAAATTATGTACTTAAATAATATGTGGAAGCATATATAAATATCTCATTTGGTGTATCTCGAAATGCATGCATTCTTTCTTTGTATCGAATGCTTTCACTATATTTCATTTTTATCATGCACAAAACATCACTATAACAATAAAACTCACATTTCAGTTATAGGAATGCGTCCTATGGAACTGTGAGGACTTACTGCTGCTTAGGATTCAACCGGAGCTGGGAGTCTCGATAGACGGTGATGTTCCATCCAACAAACAGAAGACGGATCTCTGTGTAAATATAGATTCATTTCGTCAGGATTCTTCGATGGTCTTTGCAACTGCCTGTCGTTAAGGCAGCATCAGCTGGGCTGGAGCTGAATCTTCTCCACAAATAAATCTCTCGGTATAGCCGACGGAACTGATTGAGCCCATCTTTCACTGATATCCGAGTCACAACTGTCCTGTTCGTGAAGCAGGCTGATATATTACCTATTTGTATATATAACTTTGGGTTCATGGTTTGGATCCATCTTTCTCTGATATCCGAGTCATAACTCTCCTGTTCATCAAGGAAGCTGATATTATACCTATTTGTTTGTATACCTTTTAAAGTTTTTATGAATTGGTCAGAGTTCTTCCATGGCACATCCATCACAAGACCCTGAGGACCCCCCAGTCTGTGCAGGAACTAGACGTCATCCACCAGTTAATCTCCAGGAACTACCCACGGAGCTGCTGGAATCCATCTTCCTCTATCTGACACCTGAAACTATTCTGTCCTGCTCTCGAGCTGCAGTCCGCTTCACTCAAGTCATCAACTCAGCTAGCTTTTTGGACTTGTATTGCAAGAACACACTTCAAGCACCATGGGTCACATCAGACATGGTTCTGCAGACAAAGGAGGTGTTCCACAAGGTTCTTCAGATGTGGTATTTACAGAACAGTACTCTGTGTCACCCGAATGTGATTGTCAAGAGCTGCAACAAGCTTCTTTCTATAGGACTCCTCAAATATGCAATACGAATGTGGCTGTTTTCGAATTTGTCGATCTCGTATAACAAGCCCTATGTTGTTGACCACAAATCAGTCTTTCAGATAGTTGACATATACGATGACGACGCTAGGGCTCTATTCATCAAGTTAGCAGTGCTCTTTCCAAGGTTCATTGAAATGACATTGTGTAACGTGAGAACTGCATCATTTCATGTAGGAAATCCCTACATTTTAGATTTTATAATGTTCAAGGACAATGTCCTTGAACCGGGTTATCTTAATGATTTTGATTGTAAATATCACTTTGAGATTGTGGCTAGATATCCGACAGAAGATTGCAGCTGGCACCGTCCATCTTTAGTCATCCTTGTGGGTAAGGATTCTTGGATAGGTTGGTGCGGTAGTGTTAGTAAGATCGTATACAGCTATAATGGTACTTGGGGAAGATGCAAGTTATCACTGAATGCATCAATCATTGACACCCAAAAGGCTTTCAGGGACACCTTTACGCGGTTTGTCGAAATTCCTGAGAATGTTGACCTGAGTCATTATTTGTACGATTGCTTCAATTACAATGTCAGTCATACTCTGAATGCATTACTGGAACCTGTTGCTCTGGATGTACCACTATGGGAGAGACAAAGCTCACTAATGGAGGACCTTGCACGGAAGGTTGAAAAGAAACTTGAGAGTCTGAAACTTCCCAAAGATAGGGCGATCTTATTACAAGACTACTTGGATTGCTGTTTGCAACAGAAGGGTGTCTCAGGACACAGCACGGAACGAAAACCATCAAAGACTTGCTACGTGGCTTTATTACGTTATCTTCACAGGATCCTGAATAACGTATTCTACCCAGAATGTATGTGGTACCTTTCTAATGTTCAGTGTTGTAGATACCTGGCTTTGACGAGGATGGGAGACAGACTGCTCCCCAACATCAGAAAGACACCTGCTGATACAGCAGCTGATGTTATTGAGGATTACTGTGAAAGTTTTTCTGTGCATCACCTTCCCCCCAAGTTGTGGCCGACTCATCTTCTTAGTCATGCCATACTAGCAGCCCCTGTATGTGCCAAAATAGTACAAGTTGACGTCATGTTGTGGACGAAGGGACTTCATTGCAGGCCAGTCACAGACAAAATATTACGCTTTGTTGCTGAGCAAGCGGAGACATGTGGGCTGAAACCACAACGCAGCCGTCAGCAGATTCAACGCCAACAACGTCAGCGGCGTCCTCCTCTGGGTGGCCTTATCAGATACTGTCACGATAGCGACAATGACGTATATCGCCGACTATAATTAGAACTTGGTATTTATTTGTGTGTCGCAGCTATTGTTGTAGATGCATGACGGTGGTCTTTAAGTAACATCCTGTGATTTACATCATGAGCATCGATCTACACAATAGGTGACCCCTGCGGATCCGACTTAGAATTGATCTTCAGTAACCCATGCTTGTCGTAAGAGGCGACTTACGGGATAGGGAGGTCAGGCTCGCTGACTGGGTTGACACATCATCGTATCCCAATTGCGTAGATTGATGCTCATGCTGTTGATCACTGGATTGTCTGGTCCAGACCGCCGCCATATAGCTGGAATATTGCTGAGTGCGGCGTAAAACTAAACTCACTCACTCACTCCCTTTATATGGATTGACGTCGTTTCACGACTGAACAACGTGGAGCCCACCAGTGGTTGTTCGTGAAAAGTGATTTTTTAATGCAACCAAAAGAAAGGGATGGAGTGTTTTCGAAAACGTCATTGTTCTGTATTAGCAACGACTGTTGAGTGTGATGATATTCCTGAGTTTTGGAGACTTGTACAGGAGGCGTGGAAGGTTAACAATACATCATCTGGTGTAACACGTTTTGTGATGTCTCATCTGAAATAGTAGGGATCGAGGTATGTTAATATGCCAAGTTAATGCGTCAGAACTGTCGCCTATTCACTTGACTTTAAAATCTGAAGTAATTGTTATTCCCCTTTGCGTTTGAATTAAAGAGTTCCATCAAAATCCTTGCAAAGACAGATGTACGGCTAAGGCCACAAATATGCCACTAAATCGTTGTTTTATATATTAGTTTTATATTGACTTTAATATAATCAACGAAAGAAGAAAGTATGTGAACCAAGCGAAAATAATTATATGCAATTGTGTAAAATTATGTCATCAACACTTTGTTACATATTTTGACGATTGTTTGAAACACAATAGGTAATTAATAGAATTTGAAAATACAAATAATTTGAAGGGGTGACAACCATTATTGGCATGAGTATATGTATATTTTACTGTTCCAGTTTGTTCAGTACCCATATTAATGACATGTAAAATTCACATTTCTTCTCAGTCTTCTGTTCAAGAGAAAGTAGGTTTCTTGACACCAGTTGGTAACTTTGTACGCTGAATTTATGGACATCGTTACATGCGTTCCCTTTTATCAGTTCCGACATCTGCACAATGAACCAACAAACGTGCGACAGTAAGAGCTTTGATCAGAATATCCATTTATCGACAGAGGTAACTGTTATAGAAATATATTGTAGCAAACCTCATCAAATAAATATCTATAACAGCAGGTGTATTGATAGTTTTATCTAGTATTGTAATGCAATTTTGTTTGATTCACATTATTGAAGTTCCGGGTTAGTATCAGTATTTAGTAACCCATTCTTGTAAGAGGGCCGGTGGGGTAGCCTAATGGTTTAAGCGTTGGCTCGTCACGCCGAAGACCCGGGTTCGAATGTACATGGGTACAGTGTGTGAAGCCCATTTCTGGTGTCCCCCGCCGTGATGTTGCTGGAATATTGCTAAAAGCGGCGTAAAACCAAACTCAGTCAGTCAGTCCTGTAGTAAGAGGCGACTAACGGAATCAGGTAGATAGGCTCGCTGACTTGGTTGATATATGCCATCGTATCCCCATTTTGTAGATCGATGCCCATGATGCTGATCACTGGATTGTCTGGTCCAGACTCGATTATTTATAGTCGACTCCCATACAGCCGATTGCGGCGTTAAACAAACAAACAAACATCATGGTTGCACCCAACATCAAATCAGGGAGGTTTTTCACATCAGGGTATTTACAGAATATATTAGACATTTCGGAATTTCAAGCTTATATGAATTTCCTGTTTCATTTTAGGGCGTGTGTGTCATTTTTTATGTGTTCTAGTATATTACACTGTGTTATACTTCATATCAGATGTTTGGTAACATCATGCTACTGACCTTTGACCGGATCGACCAAGTGAGTGTCAGTATTATAGAACTAAACAAATTGTTCCACGTCATCATATCAGCTTACATATACCGCTTAAAGAAGTAATCCCCTTGACGTCACAGGGTCATCTGGTCTTGGCTCGATAATTTGTGTACCACCAACATATAGCGTGATTATGATGGAAGCGTATGAGTGCCACGGTCTAAACAAATATCATCTACATATACACGAAGAAGATACTTTCGTACTTACGACACTTAAATCTGCGTACAGGATACTTTCATTTACATATATGTAGAAAATACTTTTATCTACCTAGATGATAAGATATCTACGTACAATGAACTTTCATGTACGTAGATGGTACTTAAATCTTCATGTCCGTAGATGAGATTTAATCTGAGTACAATTAGAAGATACTTTCATCTACCTAGATAATGAGACATCGGCGTACAATATACTTTCATGTTCGAAGAGATGATACCTTAAATCTACGTAGAAGATACTTTCATAAGCGTAGATGATACTTAAATCTACGTAAGAGATTTTTATCTACGTACACGTAGGAAATACTTTCATCTACCTAGGTGATAAGACATCTACGCACAATATGCTTTCATGTACGCAGATGATACTTCAATCTACGTGGAAGATACTTTCATATACGTAGAAGATACTTTCATCTCCGTAGAAGATACTTTTTCATATGCGTAGATGATAAATCTACGTGACGATACTTTCATATACGTAGAAGATACTTTTATACCCGCAGATGCTTAAATATACGTAAAAGATACTTCCGTATACGTAGAAGCGACTTTCATACACGTAGATGATGCTTAAACTTTATACGTGTGAAAGATACTTTCATGTTTGTAGATGCATAACATACTTTCTACATGTATGCATGATTATTATAATATATATTGAGGTACCATTATCATCTATGTAGATGTAAGTATTTGTAATGCAGATGTAAGTATCTTAAACGTAGATTTTCTATTAGGCTGTGAAAGTAATACGCTTCCATAGAATTGAGGTGAGTGCGGCGTTAAACAACTCACAAATGATAGACCTAACGGTAAGTGGTTCTACTGATATTAGCTTCTGCCCTGTGGAGGCCGTCGAAGAAGTTACAATTAGAGGTGATTATTGATACCTCTCATGGGTCAAACAGGAGTGATAATTTTTCCAGTTCATTAAAAGAAATATTGCATCAAACGCATGTAATCGTAATGAACCCTCTAGTAATAATAAAAACAAAACCACACACACAAGAAAAGCCCTTTAAAAAGGCAACGTTGGAGGCAATTGAGTAAATTAAGAAATTTAGTGAGAGGAGAGTGAGATGATTTGGGGGTGAAGCTGATTCCAAGAGCATCACGATGACCATACCTCCGTCCATTAGAGACTTGATTCTATTAGAGATGGGTACTCGCATCACATTCATAAAAATTAATTAGGTAACCCTAATCCCCCCTTCATATTTGCTATATCTTTCGGTTAAAGCACCCTTTTTCGATCAAACACTATATGGCCTGGTCCGTGTGCCAACACGCATTATGTAGGAAAGCGCACGTAAAATTTCCAAATCATTACCATCGCAAACAGAACTGGGTGAGTGAGTTTTACGCCGCACTCAGCAATATTCCAGCTATATGGCGGCGGTCTGTATAAATAATCGAGTCTGGACCAGACAATCCAGGGATCAACAGCATGAACATCGATCTGCGCAATTGGGAACCGATGACATGTGTCAATCAAGTCAGCGAGCCTGACCACCCGATCCGGTTAGTCGCCTCTTACGACAAGCATGGGTTACTGAAGGTACATTCTAGCCCGGACCTTCACGGGTTAGAACAACTGTATTGAATACTATGAGGTCCGGCTTCATACCATACTATGAGCCGTTACATGATTTCAGTTTTATCACAGCGTGACTGCTTGATGTGGGAGGGAAACCCGAAGTAACGCATGCCGTAGGTGTTACCTACTTGCAGAAATCAATAGCACGTGTCTGGTGGGCATGGGCGGATCCAGGAATTTTGAGAGAGGGGGTTGGGGTGGTGGTTTGAAGCCCCTGAATCCCCCCTCTGGATCCGCCAGTGCTGGTGTGGACAAACCAAGAAACTGGGCGTTTGGGGGGATTGGAACTCATAATCAGAGGTTTCTTGGTAAGGGGAGGTAACTGAGGCTATCGGGTTCCTGGGCGACCTTGTCCAAAAGAAATTCGAGAAACTCATATAAAATGGACATGTAGGAGTTGGAGTGAATTTATGTGTGTCGCATCTGAAGTGCAAGTTACGTAGTCAACGGTTACACTTGTGTACTTGACATAAATTTGAATTATATTATCAAATATTTTTCGTTATCCCTAATCAGATAAATACTTCCATTGAAGATAAAATATGATTACTGAGTTTGTTTTACTGAAATCGAAGTAAACCCGTAACTTGTAGTGATTGAGTAAGTGAGTGAGTGAGTCAGTCAGTCAGGCAGGGAGTTTCGCTTTAAGTCACTGTTAGCAATATACGAACAATTATCACGGCGGGTGACACCAGAAATGGGCTCCATATGTATTGTACCAATGTGGGGAATCGAACCCGGGTCTTCGGAGTGGCGAGCGAACGATTTAACCACCAGGCTACCCCACCGCCATCTTTAACTTGTAAACATGATTGCAAAATACACACGGTTTTATTATTTTCACCGACAGACAATACTATAAGGATCACCAAAACACTAATTACAATATGACACAAAACCTTTTTAATTCAATCATCATTTTTACAGTTGAATACAGTCTACTAAAATCTGAGTTATCGGGTTGTGAGCAAAGATTAATGTAATAATATTAATAACGGGGTTATTTAGAAATGAAATATACAACTTTATGGATGACAACTTCTTATTTATTGCATAGAGCGACGTTTCGATGTAGAAAACCAGATGTAGAGGAGTATATATACACAGTATGTTTTGACAACAGCAGATTAACATTAACAACAACATGTAATTGAATAACAACTGGTACATAATTATGAGAGGCCAGTGGGAGACTAAGAACAACAAATGAGACTGGGAACGAAGCCAATAAACAAGGTGGATTAAGTTGTAATAACAAGCTGATTGGATGCTTATAGAGTCTATAGTTTGATTAGTTCTTCATAGGCCGATGATATGTAGTATCCTTGCCCATCAAACACTTGGGGTTATTTAGGATTTGTTTTGATGAAATCATCTTCATTAAGTCTGAAGAAT